CACAATGACCGGCTGTGTGATATTTGCCATCTATGTCAGCCGCCCAGTGAAATAGCTGATGGAAGTGCTTGGATTTTTTGTCCATGCAACGCTATGTTTCATTCGTTCTGTGCCTACGACCCAACAGAAGTATCACCTGGGTTCAACTGTCCCATGTGCGGCGCTGTCACGGACTCATAGTGGAGTCATCGATCAGGACTGAAGGAGCTGTGTAGAGACCGAGTAAAGGCCCTTTTCAGGGCCACCCACAATTTGATTTAAATTTTGTTTGAATTTCTTGTTTCCATTTTAAGGAGGAGTCATGAAACCATCAATAATTCATTTCACATTCATATGATTTGGTTACTAGTTACAGTAGAGAAATGTAGTAAGATCAGTTCACTAGTACAACAAGATCATTTCTATTGCTAAGGTCAAGTGAACAGACACTGATCGGTCATCACAATTCCATAGTAATTAAGCTGTAGATTAATAATTATCATCGCTCACTTTATTACCATGCCAACAGCTTTCCAGGTTTTTCAAATTTAAGGTTTCAGTGAACGATTCCGTACAGAAAACAACGTCATATAATGAACATTAATCTGTCGAACAAAAGTATATGCAAAGGTGTGTACGATCATTCCAATCTCTTTTCACTTAGCCAAGGTAGACGATTATACTGAGATCAGTTCATTAGTACAACAACATAATTTGTATTAAGAAGGTCAAGTGAACATACACTGATCATTCATCACAATTCCATAGTAATAAAGATGTAAAATAACTTTTTCTAGATTAATAATAATAAAGTGAATATCGATCACTTTATAATTTTGTCAACAGCTTTTAAGGTTTTTCAAATTAAAGGTTTCAGTAAACGATTCCGTACAGAAAACAACGTCGTATAATGAAGACTTACATATCTAACAAGTCATTAATAATAATAATAATAATAATAATAATAATAATAATAATAATAATAATAATAATAATAATAATAATGGAACATACGAAATGTAGTAATAATTTTTCTTATGAGATTTATCACTGCATTGCAAAAATTCGATACAGTGATAAATGTCATTTAGACGTCTGATAAATAAATGTACAGTTTAACTTAACAGATTGAAATACGATATTCTAAATACATAATGGTTACTTGATACAATTGACCTTATTCCACATTAAGTCATATCATTGAAATAGAAATTTATTTCACTAGACATAGGCTTGTTCATTGACACTTCATTCAACCTATATTACACATATGCTTGTCAAAGAAGGTTATTTTTTCAACATTCAGCGATTTACTGTTTGACAGTTTAATAGTAATTATTATGTCTTTGTGACGGAAACTGTACATAGTTTTTCATTGTTCGTCCAGTATGTTTAACAAAGGGAACTGTTGGATTTGGAAATATAATTTCAGTCTTTCTAATTAATTAACGTTTACAATGTTATTTACTAATGAAAATAAAAAATTCATATCATTAATTTGAAATGCTGTGCACTTGAAAAACATTAGCTGCCAAAAAATATTATGCCCACCTCACAAATATAATTTCCGTATTACATGACTGAGTACACTAACATGTATTTTCGGTGATCATTAATAAGTGATCAACTACAAATAATGTACAGTTCAGCATATTTTATGCTTTGAATGAATTTACAAAAAATCTTGATAACCTTGATATTGCGTTCATTTTCGACACACCCTTTTCAAAGCTAAAATGATCAACTTTTTGGTATTAAGAATAACGGTTTGCAAAATAACTGAATTATTAAGATTATTTGCTTTTTTCTCAGACATTATTTACTAATTTCAGACAGCGTAAAAGTTGCTTCATTTACCCATCTTTTACGGTTAGCGTGACTTCGGCATGCCCCATTCACTCTCTCTTCACATCATCATTTATTCATATATTTACACGAATATAACGTTTATTAAATGAGCGAACTATGTGTTAAATTAACTTATGGGAATACTTAAATGAAAATCTGTTCACTAATTGTGTATTAAACATTTGACTACCTTTTTTGAAATTTAATAATCACCATTATATCAACTATCTTGTAACAGTTGTCAGGTTTTTTTTCAAAAATTAACTTTCAATGATCTACACATTATAATTACTACTCTTGTCACGACGATAACTGATAACTTTAGTTGCATTTCTACTTTATTACAAAAAAAAATTATCCCGATATACATTCACTAACAGGAGTATAGCAGGGTAATGAAAAGGATTTGTTTTTGTTTTTTTCGAAGTTACAATTTTTTACAAAAATCAGATGGAACAATGCGAAAATAGTTAATTATTGTAAATAATAATCGAATGTAAAAATGTCAATTCTTACATCCAATAAAAGCACTTTATTCTAGTACGATTTGAACGAATTAGATTACAAAGCTGCACCATTTACAACCAATTAAAAAATTATTACAGGTGACAAAATGTTTGTTCATTTGCACTTGAGCACACACATTCAAAGACAAATTCACCAATCACCAATTGCTAAATTTTTTTCACATCCTTTAATTTCCAAAAAAGGGTGGTAGGGGATTATACGAGCCGTGATTCTAATGTCAACCGCCTTTATGGGGGTTTCTATGATTTCAAAACCCTGTTTTTACCATCAAGTGACAATTGTTCACTGTTTTCCGTATGCTTTTGTATTCACATCACTAAGGATAAACAACAAAAGGTGCAATTGATAGGGGGGATAAAATTTTTAAGGGTGTGAAATCTATCTGTGTATGGGAATGCAATGTGTCAGAATTATGCATTTTTCTGCCCCGTAGAATTTGGCTTATTTAATTAGTTATGCTTCTATTTTCTCTTTAAAATCGCTTAACCAATAAGATTACTATTACCCTGATGGTTGAAATCTGAAACTTAATGTGCATTAGTATAGAAATAATAAATGTAATCTTGTAAATTATCGTACATTATGCATTTGTAATAGAACTTTTGCTCATCAACGTAATGGTTATGAGTTAAGTAATTACCAATTATTTAATATGTTGTACATTTTCAAAAAAATATATGACTTAATGAAACAAGTGAGATTGTTTCCCCAATAAATAATATATAAATATATATATATATATATATGGAGATTTTAGAAATTTTTTATAGTTGAATTCATCAGTCAATTAAAGCTAGACCACTATGGGAAACCTGGAAGCACTGGACGGCCGTTTTGTTCTATTGTAGGACTCCTCAGTAGTGCGCATTCTCGATCCCGCCTCGCGAGATTCCATCCTAGGACCTATCAGTCTCGTGCGCGAGCGCTAACCTCTAGACCACTGAGCCCCCTCCAACCGTGATAATGTTCAACTTCAATCTATCCACGAAACTGAGCAACCGACCACCATTGTCTTCAGTGAGTTACTATCTCACAACAGACCCGGTTGAACTTTACTGATCATGTCTTCTCACTAGAACTCCAGGAAATATATATCACTAAACTACAGCGAAATGAGCTAAATAGAATAAGTATTATTTGTAATTCAATAGACCACCCAATGAGATATTTTTTTAAAGTGATGCCTGTATTGAACTGTCAGAAATATTTTTTATAAAATGCTGTTGAAAATAGTAACAAGTTTTTAAGAGGACGGTGATTTATTTCGGTGTTAAAATTGGTCAATTTAAAAAATTTCTATTACGACGGTTTCCAATGAACTTTTAGTACGATCAAAATGAATTGTTATTCAGGGGTTTGTAAATCATGTATACTGGAAACTTAAGATATATATATATATATATATATATATATATATGTCACAGTAAAACTACAATGCAGTATATTCCCGTGTTCCCCTGTTTTATTATTTGATTAGAAAATTTAAAAGATTTATGATGATGTAGTATAGTTGAAGAGTTCAATTTTAATTATGATGGAAGTCAGTCATCTGTGGAACCTTAGTTAATTTAATTTAAACAAATGAACTCAGAAGATAACAATAAACAGTTAACGATTTATTCATGCACCAAGTGAAATTTTAAATTTTTTTTGTGCATCTATATGAATACACAAAATAGTTCTCAGCTAGAATTTATTATGACATGAGTACTACTTAGTATGAATACTTTATTGCTAAAGATTAATTGTTTACCGGATAATCCTTAATCGTACCATATTTGATATGCATGATTTGTACCTAACACATGTAATAATCGCTCAAGTGTAAGTACACTGTAGATCACCAACGTAGATGATTTCTGTCGAATGATTGTGGGATTATTCAAATTAGTCGTAAATGGTGTGATGAACCAGCTAACTTCGATGTCACATCTCGCTGTCAGTATCTAACGTGGATTACACCTTCAATGTATAAAAGTACTATGACTGCTTTGAAGATTGTATAACACAAAAAGCGTGATTACGTAAATATGTTAGCAAGAATCAGTACAGTGATGTTAATGAGACCACCACCACATGGGCCAGTCCATGATTAACTGATGCGCGTTTGTTGTCCTTGACTTTGAAAGGAACCGATAATCTGTTTGATATTCAGCGATCTAACTGCCGGATGATTTGGCTAGGGCTTAGTGACATTTCACTGTCCTACATTTTAGGAAGTTTACCTTATACTTTATGAATATTTTAAATGAACATATTAAATTCATACCATACAGATAATTAACATTGTTTGAACAATCAGTATTATAAGAAAATTTTCACCAACTGATAAGAATGTATTACAAATGCATAAAATGGAATGCTACATAAACCTTATCAAGCTGTAGCGGAATTTTCAAAAGAGATGATACTGACAACAATCGGAAATAGGTCAACTTGTAACCGAACATTACTCAAGTAAACTATTCCAACAATATAACTGTTTCTATCCAGTGACCAATTTGTGTAAACCAAGCATTTCTATGGTTCCATGCGCTACTTAATCTATTTTCTCGTGCAATAGGCCAAAAAGCCAACATAACTTAAATATTTGGTTATAACTTACATTAGCACACAGTGATTTATATTATTATTTCATTTCATAGGTTACCAAAATCAAGTATTTCGTTATCATGGAAAGTTTCTCCAGAAGAAATTATCAAGAGTCCAAAACATGTTTTAGAATTTTTGAATTTACAGTTAGTATCTCATTGTGATAAATAAAAAAAATTTGATGCAAAATATTGATTATTTTCCTTTTTCATGGAATCGTATTTTTGTATTTTTTATGACAAAGTGAAAAAATAATTACCACTTCCTACCTTGTGGACTTCCGGTAGTTCATATCTCCAAAAGTTACTTTAAGAAAAATTAAAAGAATCATTCATGTAACGATTAAACTTCGATACTTTACACATGAAAGCAGGAGAGATAGTCATGCGAGTAACTGCTGTTACAAAGTAATGCATTTAATACAGCAGCAACATCTTAAGATCTCATAAAAAGGTGTGTTAGTTTACTATAACACCAATGGAGGAATATCATTAAACGCATGGCCATTTTCATATTTTTTAACTAATTTTTTTTCGTTTCTTTTTAAAAAGATTTTCATCTCTTTTTCCAATTTTTTTTCATTCCGTTTCGTTCAATTAAATGGCTGGTCTTAAATTCGTTATAATTGGTTATTTATTTCTTAAAGTTGGTATAAAATGTCAGTATTCGTCGACAGAGCACATTTTTTTCACATGATGGACGATAGTAACGTACAAAGTACAATCTCTGTTGTTCCTCACGTTATCACAGAAACAAATAACATATTTTTGAATACACTGTATCTCGTAGCGTTCCAATCACTTGAAGTGTTAATGAGCGGCATTAGAACTCATGAAAGAGCTACATATTGTCATTATGCGTTGAGAGATTCTCATTTCCATAGAGATCGGAAGCCGTATATTAAATTTGTATGTTGGAAAAATGGCCGTAGAACACCTGGCGGTTCCTCACAGCCGACTAGACGATGGAGGTAAATTGTTCGTCTATTATGTTTAACAAAGATAACCAATGATTTCAAAAATAATTCCAGCCTTTCTACATAAGTAACGTTTACAATGTTATTTGCATATGACATTGAAAAATGCAGACAATGATTTGGTCAGGCTGCACATTTACAAAACATTTGCTGTTGATATTACTTGAAAAAATGTTATGGCAACTTCACAAGCACGATAACCGATTTACATGACTGCATATACCGACAAGTGTTTTTTGTCATAATTATAAACTGATCAACTACAAAAATGTACAGGTAGAAACAATTTATGCTTTTAATGGTTAAACAAACTTACGCAATTACAATCCTGCGTTTATTTACAACAACTTTTTTGTATTAAGAATTACTGTTTGCAAAATAACCCTATTATAAAGATTCTTTGCCACTTTCTGAAAGAAATTGTTACTTCTTTGAGATGGTGTAAAAGTTGCTTCATTTACCCATCTTTTACGGTTAGCATGATTTATACATGCCTCATTCACTATTTTATCATCATGATTTGTTGATACGTATATAACGTTTATTAAAATAACATACCGTGTAAGCAAAGATGGATAGTGGCTAGCAGTGGAATCCAGGACGCGCGTTTCGTCCTATTTAGGACTCGTCAGCTGGATGTACCTGCATCTCAGAGTTGATATTCACTCTGGGAATCGAACCCGCACAGTATACACATATGCCAATTAGAGACTGACCAGTTGCAGTCCTAAACATCAAGTAGAAGATTCAAACAAACAATACTAATTGAATTTAACATACCATGTGTTTAAAAAGAACTAATGGAGATACTTCGATGATAATTTGTTTACTAATTGTGTATACAACATTTGACTACCATTCAACTTCAGTAATCACTATCAAATATCATATTTGCTTGAAAAAGTTTGGACCTTATTGCCAAGCGAAACGTTGGATTTACTTTAAATTCATTCGCTGAGATTTTACAAATATGTTATTCCTAATATATATTAATACCAGTTATCAGATTTCCCTAATTTTCTTTTAATGATATACATATAATTGCTCTTGTCACGATAACTAACGACTTCAGTTCCATTTCGTCTTGATCGAAATTTTTTTTATCCCGATATACATTCACTGACAGGAGGATAGTAGGGTAGTCAAAGAGAAAATGTATCTCTTTTTTCCGAAGTTAAAATTTTTTATCAAAATTGGAATGGTACAGCCTGATAGAATTATTTATCCTAAATAAAATTAGGAATATCGTTAAACGCACGGCCATTTTTGTATTAAAAAAATTTTTTCCCATCCCATTTTCCAATATATGCAGTAAATGAAATGTTACTTGGTATTGAGATGTTCAACATTAGATGAAAGGCGAACGAATTCGTAACATGGTAATCGTTCTAAATTCCTTTTTCCTTAGCTTTTCAGTCAATGTATGTATTAATCTGAGTCGGTAATAGTAAACCAACCCATAATATTTAAGATAAACGCCCACCAATCAAACCTATTTTGCTCTTATACCAGTCCATTGTCTATCTGCTAGCCAGAGAACAGTACCCTCTTTATGAACGTGACCAACTCTCTTACTGATTCATTTTATCATGTTTCAACAACTTATTAGTATACATATGCTTATCGTCCCTTTTTTTCTAATTGACTGTACTGTCCCACTTTTTTCTACTAGTTGTTATATCTTGTGGGTTTGTGCCCCTATCAGGATATGACGCGACGAACCCGCCAATTAGAGAACAGTGAATTATTGACGGGACCAATGGCGCCTAAAACCCGTACGAACAGTCTAGAGTATCTATCTGTCCTACTTACCGCCTAACCCTGTCTATTAAGTTCAGAACACTGATAACAGCCTCTCCGATATGAATCGTATATTTCAGACATACTGGGTTTATATACAAATGAAACTGATCACATCGAACCATAAAATAGAAAATACAAGCTTTAGTCAAATGTGGCTGTGAATGTCGGAGACAGTAATTGATAGACTGGACATAACTTAAGTATGGTAAATCGTATGATAATAGTTCATAGGTCAAAATAAAGCCTATGATAAGAGGAACACGTACACGAATGGTTTAGTTACTTAACAATTATATAATAAAAATATATGTATAGTACTAGTCCAGAAATATATTCCAACAGTTACCATTCATTATTCTCATTGGGATATAACACCTCCCTTTTTGAAAATTCGGAGTTTATATCCAGACTTTAAATTTTTCGACTTTATTCTCCCCCACGAAATAAATTTGGGTCCTTATATCCTCAAATTACAATTAATGCGACTGTATTTAAAACATATTTGTCGCATTGAACATGCAATCCACTAAAACTGACTAGATTGTGAAGATGAACGCCATTTGATTTGAGATCATCAAGGTCTGATTTTTCTGAATTAGTTTCATCAAATTTATTGGGAATCTCATTAGTAGATAGTGGATTATTTAGATAATCAGCATCGGTCAAAATTGCATTAGGTTCTTAATCATCATTTGATGCATCCGATATATTTTTCTCATTTTTATGAGAAAAACCAAGAACATGTGAGTCATCAAGATAACAGATGTCCAGTAAAACAATTAGAGAATCCTGATAATTAGATTCATCAGAAACTTTGGTAGCCGAATGATTAGTCCCATTTGTCGCGACTGTATTCATTATACTGCTCGACTTATTTTCTGTTTCTTCGTGGGTGGGTACTGCAACAATTTCATAAGCATTTAGGCAAGACGTCATCTTTCTGTGAACTGGACAAGTCACTGTTTGCACATGGTGTTTCGGGGAAAATAGGATTTGAATCCATGTCTCTGAAATGGACGGTACTGGACCACTGGTCTGATCATGTATGACTGATACTGCTTCGTTTATATTACAGTTTATCAAGGATTCATAGAGGCTTTCACCGACTTATTCATTCATTCTGCAATCATTTTCCAGCCCTGTACGCAATTCATTCCTTAACTTCCGTCACATCTTCGAAGCATGGATGATCCAGTAGTCATGTGTGTAATTTGTCAATAAAATTCAACTGACTCTTTTTAAAAAGCTGCTCTTGTCGCTGAAATAGCAACCGCAGTTGATCGGAAGTAAGAGCCATTTTTGCTTCTGTGTAATTCAGCACCGTAATAGAAAATACAGTGTGACTAATTAACAGCTCATGTCGTTCAATGACACCGATGACAATTTTGTGTGCTGATTGTCCGAAATAATCACATTGAATTTTGTCCAACTGCTGGTTGACCTTGGTTCTTTTTTTCACCCCATCGCGAACTGTTATATCTTGTGAACCTGTGTTTCATTCATTACTCTCATCGGGATATAACACTAGTCGTATAAGTTTACATTTTGGAAAGAGATTACAATTATTAGTTATTCATAGTCTAACTCTTCTAGCCACAACATCACCAGGACTCTGTATTACAGCCTAGGGACTTGTCTGGGAAATCCATATGTAAGTAAATTATATCCTGCAATCTTTTTGGATGTTTCTTCTAGAAAATTTACACATACTGACCAGTCTTGGTTTTTTAAGTGGTCGAATTTAACTAAGAACTCCAAACTTTCATAACATACACCTACCAAAAAGTTCATCGTTATCACCATTACAAATCTTTTTTACAGGGAAATGTATAGGGGATCGAATGAAACTGCGAGTCCATTCCTTCCCTGTTGCAAACACCAACTGTCTTTCTGATTATATAGCCAACTTAGAGTTATATTCCAGTTTCATCCCTAAAGTTTTTAGGTTATCTCCGTAGAGCTAATGACAGCTCCAATGCATCAATTGGTGCTTCTTCTAACTACTCGACTTTCATAATTACACTTTGTATTGAGGATTGTTATGTCCTATGACCCGTAAAATATCTCAGGACAAAAGTGCTAACCAGAATACTGACTTCTATGACCTTGTTCTTGTGCTAAACCAGTAATGAATTAACCAGTGAGAACAGCCTTTAGTCAACTCTCAGTCCTTATTGGTCCTCCATGTTGTAGCTTCTAGGTTAACCCACCCAGTTCAGTCCAGAATACACAAATGCCAACCTCCGATACATCAATAGTATATTTCAGACATAATTGGTCTATATACAAGCAGACGGCATTACACCATAAAATGAAAAATAATAATTGTACAAGACCAGGATAAAAGTGCTTTATATATATATATATATATATATATATATATATATATATATATATATATATATATATATATATATATATATATATATATATAATCTAGTCAATTATTATGTCACAATATATGTAATGACAGTTACCATTCATTTATTCTTCCTTGGGATATAAGAAGAGTTACAGTCTGAATGATTCAATATTTTATGGACCGATTGACGTGTGGTTTACCTTTGCAGTTGCAATATACATCCATGTGGTGTTTGTATGGACTAATGATTCCTTTGTATTTTGTGACTGCCCTATTTCTAATTCAGAATACAATGCGTTCGTTTGTGCTCACCTAGTTCTGTTTGGTCTAAATTGAGTTATTTCGGCGTTTCCTAATTCGTATAATAATTCAACTACTTCTAATTATCACGTTGGCGTCGCAATGGAGCCTGTGATGGAATAGTCGGACATAAATTCGAATTTTGATGCATTTAAGAATTATATGGAAAGGTTTGAAATCTGGACTACGGCCAATGAGGATGTTGAGGACGTCAATACTGTGGCTCGTTTCCTCACATTCATCAGAAAAGAAACCTACAGCTTATTAAAAACTTTGGCACTTCCTTATGCAACTCTCAAGGAACTACTATTGAACCATGTAAACTGTACAAATTTCGAATGTGATAAGGGGAGAAAATCTCATAAAATGATTCGTTAGGACATCAACAATTTCCCTAAATCACTGTCATCGCAATCCAACTCGTACTCAAGGTTATGCAGATAACGATTTATTAAATAGTTGCGAAACAGGTCACGAAGATGAGCACAAGTTTGGTAAACGTTTGCCCTGTGGCAAATTTCGCCCACGTAATTCATGTGTATTTCGGAATGCCAAAGGCTTTGAATGTCGTAAAATTGGACACACACATGCGGTTTGTAATACTACTATTCATTTCGCTGAAAGTAATGCTAAACTTCGTAATTCCGATCCTGTTAAGTTGAATGTTTCAAATGAATCATATTCTGATCAGATTCATAATATTATTTTACCAGATATGTGTCGTTCCCATGATTCATGTTTTCGTAACGAAATTTTTTACAAATATGTGGGAGATATATCGATTGCACCAAATCCAGATCAGAACCCTGATATTATTTTATCAGATCAAGGTTTTTCCTAATGATTTATTTATTTCTAGTGTAATCTTAATCAAATGTGAGGAACAAGTTCTAAATGAGTTAAAGTCTGATTACAGTCCTTATGATGTTACATCAAATGTTATTTGTCCTCACAATGGATTTAACTCTAGAGATATCCCTAATGAATGTGACAAATGTTC